TTTTCCCAGTCTTCTACCTTTTTACAAGAAGAGTTTCATTAAGGACGGACTGTGGGAAAAGGGCTTATCTTTGCTGAGCCTTAAAGACATTTGATTGGCTGCTGGGTTACTATAGTTGTAAGCGGTGACAACAGTGATTGGATAAGCGAGCAAGCTGCCAAGTTGATCACTCTGTGTTCATTGCGTGCGGCCATAACGGTTTCAACTGCTTATTTGATTATGGAGAAACTTTCCTTTACTTTGAGATAGAGTTGTGGGTGGTGGTTGGGGAGAGGGTAGGGGCTCAAGCCCGTGAGCCCTTCACTACCCCCCGCCACTGAAACTCCTACTACCAAAAAATATAAAACTGAAACAGTTACTTTAGCCTCTGGTGGTTTCTCTGTCTGTCACTCTCAATGTCAGTGGCGCATTCTCTCTCCCTCTCTGTCTGTCTGTCTGTCTGTCTGTCTGTCTGTCTGTCTGTCTGTCTGTCTGCCTGTCTGTCTGTCTGTCTGTCTGTCTGTCTGTCTGTCTTTCAGTCGGTCTGTCAGTTGGGTGGTCTGACCATGTGCATGTTTCGAGATTATATCTATCTTTTAATGTTTCGGAATATTTGTTCGTCTAATTATCTGTCTTTCTGTCAGTCGGCTTTTCTGTATTATTTGTCTTTCCATCATGCTATCCCTCTGTTTTTGTCTGTCCATTTGTCTATTCGTTAGTCTACTCTTTAGTAGATACATGGTGATTGTGTCTATCAGTAGTTCCATCAATTTGTTTGTATGTCTACTTGTTTACTTGACTGTCAGTCTCTCCATGCATCTATCTGTCTGTCTGTCCGCGTGTCTGTCTAGCAGTAGGTTCGTCTGCCCAATTCACTGTCCATTTGTCCATCCGTTTGTCCTTCTCCCCATCTGTCTGTCCTTCTCCCCATCCGTCCGTCTGTCTATCCGTCCATCTCTCCGTCTGTTCGTCGGTCCGTCAGTCCGTCCATCTGTCGACGTGTCTATCTTTCTCCATATCTGTCCATCTGTTTATGTGTCTGTCCATCCGTCTGCCTGTCCATCTGTCTATGTGTCCATCTGTATGTTTTCCTCTCCGTCTGTCCTTCTGTCCTTCTGTTCATCCGTCTACGTCTTTGATGCTCCCTCAGCGGGTGCGTCTGTCGTACCGTCCATCTATCTCTGTCTATCTGTCTCTGTCTATCCGTTCGTCTGTCCACCTATCCGTCTATGTCTGTCTGTCCATCATTCTGTCCGTGTGTTTATGTGTCTATCCACCCATCCGTCTGTCCTTCTCTCCGTCTGTCCTTGTGTCTATCCATCTGTCTGTCCTTCAATCTGCCAATCCATCTATGTCTGTCTATCCATCCGTTTGTCTGTCTGTGTGTCTGTTCTTCTGTCTCCTCGTCTGTCTATGTGGTGTGTGTCTATAATGCTAGCCCTCAGCGGGTGGCGGGTCCCGGGGCAGCGAGATGACGCCAGTGATAGTCCGGACTTTGCCTTTTTCAGTCCCCCCTCCTCCCTGCCTGAGCGGCTGCGGCTTCAGGTCAGCCGTATTGCCATGGCAGACTACGAGACGCTGCACTTCGACAAGGAGAAGCTGCGGCAAGCCTGTAAGTTCTGACCGACCTATCCTAGCTCGGACTAACAACACTGACCACCAGCATCACTCCCTCTACCCCA